CCCCAAAACCCCAAAACCCCAAAACCCCATCAGAACAATCTCAAGTTAATGCATCAATCAATTAAAAGTATAAAAAAGCAATTTAATTAATGTCTAATTTTAATTCATTCTTCAAGATATTAGCAATGTTGATAGCAGTTTTTAGGTTCTAGGACAAAGAATATAGCTTCAAATTTACTTATCATATATACAATCTGGTGATTATATTGTAAATCTGTCCTAATTCTGTAAAAAACATCAGCACCATCATTATCAAAGAATAATTCTAGCAAATCCATATTGATAATTTTAGTTCGATCGTAATTGTGATCAATAATGTCATATTGCTAATAGTACGTTTCAATATCTCTGATCAAACAAAGTTCTAGTATATCAACAGCATAGAAAATAAGTCTCTAGTTTTTTTCATATCTTAACAGTTCCAGTATTGTAGGAATTATTTTGTATTTTATAGCAATATATGCTTTCACTTCATAATCTTTTTATTTCTAAAGTAGTAGTCCTATTAACACTAAAGATTCTTTTCTCAATCTATCATTTTTAGACATGACATTGCTCATAACTCTCTCTAAAATGCAATTGAACTTTCCGTATTCTACATATAATTACCTGCCAAATTCAAAAGCCATGGAATTACAGAGATTGATCATTATTATTGTCAAAAGTAATTCATATCTAAGCTAGTTTTATCCACAAAGACCTGAATCTTATTTATTCCAAGCAAATAAACAAGAGATGTAGTCATCGATGCCAATATCTAGCAAATATTGTATATTGCTATCATCAGAAGCTAAAAAATTGCTGATGCATTCCATAATTTTTTCTGGAAGTTTCAGTTCTTATTAGTTAAAGTCAAGTGCCACTTGATCTTAAGCAGCAAAACTGTCAATCATTTGAAAAATCCATTTAAACAAAGGACCAGGTGCTAGTACCTAATTAACTTATTCGTTTTTTATAAAGGCATCTGCTGATGGACCTGGCTGGACATTTGTAATGTTTATTATAATATCGAGAGAATTTAAGACAATTCCTATTTCATGCGAGTAAAGATTATCTAAGATAAGATATATCATTTCATTAGTAATTTCTTCTGTAAGGTCTGATTAATTGAAGTCTAGCGTTAGGTTTGATAATATCCAAATTAATTTGTCGTTCATATCTGGTATTCCAATCAAAATCTAATTCTTTGCAATTTCCATTATAATTTCATAAGTTTTGTATTTCAAAAGCTCTTTCCTAGACTACTTATTTTCTGCAGCAACATTTCCAATGACTGTCAAGCATTATAGTAATATTTAGCCTGCTTTCAAATGATCTTATTCGAAGAATTTGCCTCTCATTTCCTCATAGAAGCTTAAAACATTTTGCAAAATATCAAAAACTTTATGCAGAATATTGGTACTGATAATTTACTCAATATTTTCGAAGTCCAAATTAGACAAGTCCTCCAATAGCCAAAGTATATTTGAAAGTAAAGGCTCAAATATCTAGTATTAGATTCTGTTTAGTAGTTGTGAGATGTTCATGTAAATTCCGTACTCAATTAGTTTAGACGATATCTTATTTAAGTTCTGGCTCGATGAACAGACCATATCAAGTAGCTTTTTGATAATGCTGTCAATTTCGTTTAGATTCATGTGTATCATTTTTTCTCTTAATTCATTCATCTGAAATTCCTAAATACCCACTATTAAAATTTATAATCACTTACTATTTCTGAAAAAATCAAATCTATTTAGCTATGCTAGTATTATCCAACTGATTGCTATTATTATATAGAAAGTTGAACCACATTTGATATAAACTGAGGATTATGAGTATTCTTAGAGATCTTAATGCTTTAATTTTATGAATTCTAAGTTTGACTGTGTGTTGTTATTTGCTAATGCCTAAGTTTTGTGAGTTTCCCCAACTTTCTGCTCTTTCGAAGACTTATCGCAAGGTTTTCATACCTTTACTAACGGTTGTTGAAAGATGAATTATCACTTTATTTATCTATAAAATCAGTATTCATTATATGTTGGTCACAGATTGAAAATTGCTTCTAGAATCTAGCTCATTTGCTAGTGTCTTATTTACTTTTACTTACTCGATGAATAATTGAACGCTAAGGCTATGTTACATCTCTGGTCAACATTATTTGAGAAGTTAGTAATGTCTGCTTAATCATGTTAAAAATATTAAATACCTTTTAAGAATTCTTTGCCATTATTAGTTGTTTCTTGTCTAGAAAACATTTTGAATTTAAATTAATCAACTTAAAATTATCAATACTCCTTTAAATTTATAATTCCTTATTTTACTAACTTTCCTATCACATGGGGTTTTGGGGTTTTGGGGTTTTGGGG